TATGGGCTCTAGTAACCACCTGGGGTTTGAAAGTGCCCTTGGGTACTTCTGCTTCAGGGTGGTCAGTACAGCCTGCGTTTCCAGTTCCACAACCTCCTCAGGAGCCACGTTTACTGGGCCTGCAAAGATTCCCCCAAGTCAAGGAGCCCTGGGCACCAGGAGAGAAGAACTGAGATGTTTGCCCTTCCATAAACCAAAGACTTCCTGTGAGAGGAAACGGTTACTCAAAGTTAAACCCACTAGAGGGTAAGCTGATTTCAACAAAGGGACACAGAGTCAGCTGGGTCCCTCTGACTGAGAACTTCCGATGTGTCAAACTCTGCTCAGGGAATTCTGGGTGAGGCCCAGGAGAGAGGGAAATGAAGAGGACAGAGCCTGGTCCACTAATGGGCAGATCCCAGCCCGACTGCTGTGGGCAGCACCTACAGGTCAGAACGGCCAGTTTCAAAAGAAAACAAGCCCCGAACTCCTGAGCTAGGTCCTGTGGGTATTCTTGGAGGGCTGTGAGCAGCTCTCGGGGTGTCAGGCCTTACCAGCAATCACTCCTTGCCCATAGTTCTCCCTTCACTGAGCAGAGCCTGAATCTGCATGGGGTTCCATCCCAGCCTCTCCAGCAGCAGCTCCAGCCAGAGAGCATCTTCCCAGTCCCTGTGAACAATGTGAATGGCGATGGTGCAGTTCCTGTGGCTGCTCACTAGGGTTGCCAACGAGTCTCCAGAGTCATGACCCCATTTAAGACCAAGCCTGCATAAGGCTGCCAGAAGGAGAGGCAGGAGAACTCCATCTCCCCAGAGATCCGTGGGCCTCACGTGCCCTGTGGAAACCCAAAAGTGTGAATGTCAATAAGCATCATGCATCAGCCTTCCGTGTTCATGGTCTGTGGGCTGACCTCTCCCCGCAACGTCTCCTGGGGCCCTGGAACCCCACTGACAGGGATGGTGGGAGAGCAGAGCGTGTTGGCTCCTTCTTCCTATCCCCATGCACTCAGCTGCCAGGCCCCATGGAAAGGGCTGGTGATGCAGATGCCTCGTCCATCAGATGGAGTCTTTGAGGAGCTCAAGAAAGAAGGTGGAGACAGGTAAGGAGAGGCCCTCAGCACAGGGTGTGGTCAGTTCCACAAAGGAGGTCACTGAGGCCAGGGGAGCACAGAGAAGGGAGAAAGGGAGCTTTGGCTTCACTCCCGGTGAGTGGGTTCTAGTCCTCTCTCAGCAAAGACCCTCCTGAGCTTTCCTTCTCCTGCCCTCCCCCACCCACCCTAACACTGTCAGCTGTCTCCTCTTTTCACCCCAAGGCGCTGCAGTCCCTATGCATCCCGATCCCTCTTTCAAGGCTTCTGGTTGAAAATCCTTATAATCAAATATCAGCTGGGCCCTTGGACACCACTGTGTGAGCTTAGATCATCCTGCCAGGTGCCTACACTTGACCACATTGGGAGCCACATTTCTCAATCCAATGGCTGCATCACTACTTATCTGCTGTCAGCAGGCACTCCTGGCCCTTACTGCAGCCTAGAGAAAGGAATAACAGGACCAGGAACAATTGGCACCAGTACCCACACACCATGCCCATATCAGGCCCTGGGATGGGCATGATCCACGGATCCTAGAATTCAATCCTCAAATAACTGGGTGGGCAGTGCCATTGTCACCACATTCTACAGTTGAGAAGGTGGCACCTAGGCATAAAAATATGGCCCATGATCTTGGGCCCTGACTGACTCATCCCCTGTTCTCGCCTCTTTTCCTTGTACCTGGGGAAGGGGGTCGTTCCTCCTCAGAGCTGTGCAGTGGCAGGAGCAGAAACTCGGCCTGAAGACTCAGCTGGGTCCTAGTACCTGGCGGAGCACAGTATCCACAGGGCTGTGAGCACCTGCCCCTAAGAGGATAGTCAGAACCAGTAGCTACACATCATCATCATAGGGCCTGAGCCTCATTACCACACTCCACATGAGCAACCCCCCACTCTGCTTGTCTCTTACCTCCTGTCTTTAA